AATTTTGATTACATTGGTTTAGGAGATTTTTCAAAGTACTTTCTTACACCTAAAATTTTATGATTTGGTGACTTTGATAGAAATGCTCATCAACAACTGAACAAGATTGTGAGATTTTTATAAAGTAATTGAGGAAAATATGAAAAAAAGTAAATAAGAAAATACCTTTCTTTTCTTTCCCACATCTAATAGTAGCTTATATCTGTGATGTTCAGAGTACTCTCAGTATAATTTCTTTTGATGTAAGTATCCAAGAGGCAGTGGGTTACAGTAGCCCTATGATAATAACGAGGCAAATGAGGTTCAGAGGAGCCAAATAATTTGTTCAGAGTTACATTGTGTTTAGGAGAGCCAGATCTTCTGATTTATGGCTCAGTTACATTCTGGTCTAATAGTAATTTCAGAAGACTGAATAATAATAAGGGATATTACCTTTTTAAAGAGCATAATTGAAATATAGAATATGGTTATATAAAAACTCACTGAGGGATCATACATATGATTGTTACTGATCTAGTGCTGCAATCCTTGGACGTTAGTTGCTTCTGGGTTTGTACCCCTTTAGCAAGAAACTAAGAGGAAAAAATATCTCTTTTTATCTTAAGTTTTTAAAATCTGTAAGAACAAAAAAGAAACCACTGCATTTGCAAGAGTTGAAGATTAAAACTTTTTTATTGTGGTAAAATGCATATAATGTAAAATTTGCCATTTTAACTGTTTTTAAACCTACATTTCAATGGCATTAATTACATTCACAATGCTGGGTAACCATCACCACTATATATTTCCAAAACTTTTTCATTACCCTAAACAGAAACTGTGTAAACATGAAGTAATAAGTCCTGTTTCCCCTCTCTGGTTAGACCTTGGTAACCTCTAATGTAATCTGTGAATTTGCCTAATCTAGGTATTTCGTATACGTGGAATCATATAATATCAGTCCTTTTGTGTCTGAATCATTTCAATGAGGGAAATATTTTCAAGGTTCATGTTGTAGCATTTATCAGAACTATATTCCTTCTTATGAATGAATAATATTCCATTGTATGTATATATCACATTTTGTTTATCCATTCATTTGTTGATGGACACTTGATTTGTTTCTATCTTTTGGCAATTGTGAATAATGCTGTACAAGTATCTGTTTGAGCCTTGTATTTATACCCAGGATTGGAATTGCTGGGTCATATGGTAATTCCTTATTTAGCTTTCTGAGTAACCACTAGATTTTTCCACAGCAGCTGCACCATTTTATATTCCCACTAGCAATGTATGAGGGTTCCAATTTCTCCATATCTTGATAAAATTTGTTAACTGTTCATTTTTAAAATTAGAGCCATCCAAGTAGGTTTGAAGTGGTTTCTCCTTGTAGATTTGATTTGCATTTTCCCAATTACCAATGATGTTGAGCAAAAGATAGTTTTTTAAAAAGATTTTAAGAGGTCTGTTCTAATGAGAGGTGGCGCATGCCTGTAGTCCCAGTTACTAAGGAGGCTGAGGCAGAGGAATCACTTGAACCTGGGCAGCGGAGGATGCCATGAGCTGAGATTGTGCTACTGCACTACAGCCTGGGTAACAGAGCAAGACTCTGTCTCAAAAAAAAAAAAAAAAAAAAAAATTGAAGAAATTTGGATTACTCGAAAGTAGCTTTTTGGGGTTCAAAAACAGGAAAATCCTTAATTATAATGGAGCAATTTGGTAGTTCTAGCAAGAAATAGAAATGAATGAGCTAATTTCATTTGAGCAAACTTCTGCGCTATATTATTTTGATCATCTTTATTTATGAGTATTCATTTTCTCTTTTGAATAAACAAGCAATTGGAGAACTACTCTGTATGTTAATTGGGCCAGTCTATTCATTTATTCACAAAGCTTTTATTTCTCTTTAGGCTAGCTTGAGAGCTCATCTATGATGAATTTTCCCTTACAGAAAATATGTTTTAAGATCAGCAGTGTATTTAAAGTATATGTATACTGATCCATATTTTGTTTATGACTGCCAATAATTATGCCAGTTATCAGTAATTGTCATTTTTTTTCAGAACTTTTATATTTGAAATGGGAGCATATTAGTATATCTTATATCTTAAAATATTTTACCTTCATAGATATCTTTATTTATGTTCACAGCTTTTTGACATTTATACCAGTGACCTATTGGGAGAAATCCTCATGGGCCATCACAGCACCATCCAGTACTGTGACTTCTCCCCCCAAAACCATTTGGCAGTGGTGGCTTTGTCCCAGTACTGTGTAGAGGTGAGTAGTTGAATTTATTCTGTGAAGTCTGGGTTTCTAGAGATAAAAGGATGTTCCGAGTGTATACCTAGCTTGCCCTGGAAGAATTCCACCTAGTGAATTGTTGTATTAATTTTTTCATAAAGTAGTATATATATATTTTTTCCTTCAAGGATGGATTAGTGCTTTTTTATTTTTGTTTTTTAATAGAGATGGGGGTCTCACTATGTTGCCCAGGCTTGTCTTGAACTCTTGGTCTCAAACAATACTCCCTCCATGGCCTCCCAAAATGCTGGAATTACAAGTGTATCACTGTGACTAGAGATGGATTAGTTTTTCCAAGTTTTCTTAGTTTTCATTCCTTAGGTTGGTTTTTACCACTAGGTTGTTTGAAACCCCTTGAGATCACAGTTCCACGAAGATGGGTTTGGGCCTTTATCTGGAAAATAGGGAAGTTCACTTGGTTTACAGGCCCTTCATCAAGGGAGCTGTGATTACTATAAGCACTTCTTTGGTGTTCTGTGCTTATTTAGCAAATTTTAGTGAGTTTGCCAGCCTCGCCCATTACTGTGAAGGTATTGTGGGTGAGTTTCTAAGCTATAGCCCTTCAACATGGAGGAACAGGTGAGAGTGAGGGCATGAGCTCCATAGGCTTCTCCTAATTCTAAGTGCAGCAATGCATGTAATACTGAAGAAGTTCCCTGCTGAGAACCTTCCCATGTACACAGAGGCAGGGAGTATGAAAAAGTTCTAGTCCTGGTCTAAAATGGCAGGAAGAAGTAGGGTCCTGTGGGCATTGTTTTCTTGGGCAGAGGCTTTGAATTGGAAATGTTTTGTTTTGTTTTGCTTTGCAACCTCTGCAACCTCCACCTTCTGGGTTCAAGCTATTCTCTTGCCTTAGCCTTCTAAGTAGCTGGGATTACAGGTACCCATCAGCACGCCTGGCTAATTTTTTTTTATTTTTTGAGACAGAGTCTTGGTCTGTCACCAGTCTGGAGTTTAGTGGTGAGTGGCATGATCTCGGCTCACTGCAACCTCCGACTCCCTGGTTCAAGTGATTCTCCTGCCTCAGCCTCCCGAGTAGATGGGACTACAAGTGCCTACCACCATGCCTAACTATTTTTGGTAGAAATGGGGTTTCACCATGTTGACCAGGATGGTCTCAATCTCCTGACCTCGTGATCTGCCTGCCTCAGCCTCCCAAAGTGCTGGGATTACAGGTGTGAGCCACCATGCCTGGCCCATGCCTGGCTAATTTTTTTGGTATTTTTAGTAGATGGGGTTTCACCATGTTGACCAGGCTGGTCTTGAACTCTTGACCTCAAGTGATCTACCTGCCTCAGCCTCCCAAAGTGCTGAGATTAATTGGGTTCAGATCTGCTAGGAGATCTTAAACCTTACATGTTTAAACCTCAAGGTAAACATGGGAGTGTTGGTTAGGATTTTTAGAAACAGTAAAGTAGCAACCCCTCTTTCAGCCTTTAATGCCACTTCTAAAGTCCTTACTCTCTACCATCCTTAGCAATCTGTAGGAAACAATGAAACAGTGTCTTCCTTCTTGAAATGAAGGGACTCAGTTCTGGAGGCTCTGAGTGACAAAGAAATGATCGGAAAGAGATGGGGAGAACAAAGTGGTAAGAGAGGGGAGGATTCTCAAAGGAAATTTCCAGTTTCTCAAGAGAGATTTTTGGCTGTGGAACCACTTTCATTTTTGGCCTTTAGTTCTGGGTGTCCAAGCTTGGACTGTAGAGATAAGACAGATAAAATTTCATATAATTAGTTTATAACCATAGAACTCACTGAATGAAAACCAGTCACTGGGCCTATGATGAGGTACTTGTTTTGTCCATGCTAGTTCTGAGATGATAAAGTAGGTCTGTAATTTAAAGTATAATGAGAGGAACTCAGTCACATATGGTACTTCATTAGACTTGACTATATTAGAATAATTTATAGCAGAACCCAGGACAAAATACCAGGCTGCTGGTAGACATGGTAATAAGCATGAATAACAAGAGAAATGTGTACATGTTACAATTATTGTGTTCATTTATTGTAGGTTCTTCAACAGTCAGTTGAAATGAAGGTTAGATGACAGTGTTAGTGGAAAATAATTGAATATGGAAGCTGCTTATGTTCATCCTATTATTTTTTGGATTGATTTTTTAAAGCGATAAAATATTTGCATGATTCTAAAGTCAAAGTTTTATAATGAGTTATATTCAGAGAAGTCTTGCTTTCATCCGTTTCCCTTCACCTTTCTTTCCCTCCTTCTTTGACCCAATATGTAACTATTTTGTTTTTGGCTTCACTGTCCAATATTTCTTGCAGGTATAAGCAGGTATCTATATGCATATATATCAGTATCTGTATCCTTCTATATGTTCTGGTACATATTTTTCTATCTCATATAAAAGATAGTACTGTATAATATATACTCTTTGCACTTTGCTTTTTTTCCTGATAACAATATAACCTGGAGATTTGTCATCATTGTCCGACCTACCCTCTGCGGGAAGACTGAGCTCGTTCGGAAAAAACCGGACCGCAGGCTAGAGGAAATTCCTTAAGTTCAGGCTTTATTGAGAGGAAAGAGCCTCCGGGCGGACCAGCCGGGAGGAAGAGGAGAATGGCCGCGCCGCTCAGAGGGGCAGGGTTGTTTTATAGGGGGCTGAAGGGCTGGGGGGTGGGGAAGCCAAAAGCCGAGGTGGTGGGCAACTGTTGGTCAGTTTGAACTGCTGGGCGGGAAGCTGGGTGGCGGGAGGGCTAGGGCCGGTATGTAAAGTGAGAGATAAGGGAGCCTCTTTGTGGGGGAGGGAAAGAGAGAGAGATTTTGCGGTAGGGGCAGAGTTTTCCAAACATTCCCGACTCCTTAAAGAAAAGAAAAAGAGGGGGTCAGGGGCGTCGGTTGTCTCTCTAGCTACTTCCTGCTGACAAGGGTCGATGGGGGTTCTGAAGAGGTCTCTTTTCTTAACGAGCCTGGATGTTCGGGGAGAGGTCTGTTTCTTGCACTCGTTCAGGGTAGGGTTGGAGCAGCATCTGGTGGATGGTGACTCGAGTCAGTTCTTGAAAGCGCCGCTATAGGAACTGTAGAAAGCAAGGAGCAATAAGTAAGATTAGGCAAACAGCTACTAGGGGCCCAAGCAATGGGGACAAGAGGGTATACATAGAGGAAGACCACCACGCCGTGGCTTCAGCCGAGAACTTCTGACTCTGTAGGTTAGTTTTGAGTTTCTGGAGGCTCTCGATTCGGGTTTCTACTAGGCCGGATTCATTGATGTAGTAACAGCACTCTTCTTGTAGGAAGATACAGGTCCCTCCTCGTTCAGCAGTGAGCAGGTCCAGGGCTCTTCGGTTCTGCAAGGCAACTTGGGCAACTGAGGTGATCTGTCATTGGAGTGATGCTAAAGACTCAGTAGAGTCATTAATAGCCGCTTGGAGTTGTGAGGTCAGTCGGGCTATGGCCAGGTGAGAGTGGACTAGTGCCCCTCCTCCTAATCCTGCTGCAAGTGCTGAACCAGCAAGGGAGACACCAACGGCAATGGGTAGGAAGGCAGCTTGTCGGGTGCGGCGATGGGGAGTTTGCAGCATCTGGAATTCGGCTGGGGAATATATAGTGAGTCGAGGGACTAGGGTTACCGGGAGGACTTTCTGTGTATTTTCAGATGGCTGGGTGGGTTGGGGAAGAGAAGCGTTGGCGTGTTCTCGGAGAAGGCTGCGAAGGAGAGTAAAGTAGGGGAGGTAGCTGTCTAGAGGAGTAGTCTCTGGCGGTGGGGGAGTTGAAAGTAGGAAGGGGCAACCATACAGCAGCTCAAATGGGCTAAGCTGTGATGGGCCCCGGGGGCCTGCTCTTACCCTGGTGAGGGTGATAGGAATTAAGGTTACCCAGGATTGGCGGAGCTCAAGCATGAGCTTAGTCAGATGCTCCTTTATTAGGCCATTGGCCCCGTTCCACCTTACCAGAGGACTGAGGATGGTAGGCAGCATGTAGCTTCTACTGAATTCCTAGAGAGGTAGAAACGGCATTAGTGACTTTGGAGATAAAGGCTGGGCCGTTGTCTGACTGTATGGTAGCTGGGAGTCCAAAGCGTGGGATGATGTCTTGAATGAGATGAGTGGCTACTGTCCCGGCAGACTCAGAGGCTGTGGGGTAAGCTTCAATCCAGCCTGAAAAAGTGTCAACAATGGTTAGCAGATACCGGTACTGTTTGTGCTTTGGCATATGGGTGAAATCAATTTGCCAGTCTTGGCCAGGTAGGAACCTGCGTAGCTGATGAAGCTGGCGCCGGGGATGACAGGAACTCTGGGAATTAGTTTTCACGCAGACAGTACATGAGGACTGGACTTCCTGTATGGTATTGAGGAGGTGGTGGGGGTGAAAAAGTGGGTGGAGGAACTGGTATAAGGCTTTAGGCCCAATGTGGAGTGAATTATGGATGTCTTGGATTATCTGGTACCTTTGCTTTTCAGGGAGGATGAGGAGGTTATGCTTGAAGGCCCAGTCATCCTTGAACTGTACCCCGGGGGTAGACTGGAGGGTCTGGAGTTCTGAGGCAGAGTATTGAGGGCTAGGAGAAAAAGGCTGTGTGGGCTGGCAGTGGGGAAGGTTATGACGGCCTTCAGCTTTGAAAGGATGTCTCACCCCAGAAGGGGAACTGGGCAGGTGGGGATTACTAAAAAGGAGTGGGTGAAGGGAGTGGAGTTATATGAGCACATGAGTGGTGGGGTTTGATAGGGGATACTCGGGGTCCCATCGATTCCCATGACTAAGACCTGGGAAGGGGTGAGATGGCCAGAATAAGAAGGAAGTGCGGAGTAGGTAGCCCCCATGTCTTGTGACCCTAGGCTCGGCGAGGGTAACCGGAGTCGGAAAGCCAGGGCCCCGCTAGTCATCTAGCAGCCCTAGTAGACTGGGGAACGGAGCTCCCTCGGAGGTCGGCTCCTGGCAAGCAGGCTCCTCCCTACTGAGGGTGACCGCCGGCTGCGTAACGCCAGTGTGTCTGTTTTGAGGAACCGGCACCCTGGGGAAGCTGGGGCAGTCTGACTTCCAATGTCCCGGGAGCCGACAGATAGGGCAAGGCTTAGTTGGTGGCCGTGGTTGTGGACAGGCTCGGGACCAGTGTCCTTCCTTTCCACATTTGAAACATGCCCCTGGAGGGGCATGGGTTTCGGCCTTGGGCTTCTGGTTCCCTGCCGGCCTTAGAGCCGCCACTAGGGCTTGGGTCTGGAGAGCAGCCTTCTGCTTCATGCGAGTTTGGCGGGCAGCCTCAGCCGCATCTTCCCTGGCATTGAATACTTTAAAGGCCATTTTTACCAGGTCTTGGATGGGAGTCTCTGGCCCCTCTTCTGCTTTCTTTAGTTTCTTTCTTATGTTGGGTGCTGATTGGGAGATAAAGTGGGAGGCTAATACAGTGGCCCCGTTTTGGGAGGCTGGATCCAGTCGAGTGTACCGGACTAGGGCTTCTTATGTTTGAGTGAGGTATTGGAATTCTTTAATATAGGTGGATGGGTTGGCTGAGAAGGATCCTAAACGTTTCTCAATTTGGGACAGGTCTTGGAGTGAGAAAGGAACATGGACCCTGATTAAACCTTCTGCGCCTGCTACTTCTCGGAGTGGGGCCAGGATAGCTGGCTGGTGGGAGCGGGTGTGGGCCGCCACCGGAGAGGCAAGAGGAAGTGCGGCCTCTGAGGGAGGGGGCTCGGAGGGAGTAGAGGGAGAGCGAGGCATGGCCTCTGAGGTAGGAGGTGCAGAGGGAGTGGGGGAAGGGCGTGCCGTTGATGGCGACTGGTTGCTGAGATTGGCAGGAGAGGACAGATGTTCAGGCAGATCCTCCGGTGAGGAGTAGGGAGGGGGAGAGGTAGTGGAGGAAGATTTACGGGGGGTTCGAGATAAGAGGATTTGGTAGGTGGAGCAGGAAGAACATAGGTCGGGGTGGGTACGGAGGTCCCAAAAAGCCTGGACATAAGGAATTTCATTGTCCTTGCCCATGCGGCGACAAAAATCGTCGAGATCTCGGAGGGTGTTGAAATCAAAAGTGCCAGTCGGGGGCCAATGTGACTGGTTACCGAGTTTGTATTGGGGCCAAGCCACCTGAGACAGGAAGATAAGCTTTTTCTTTCTGAGGGTTTGGGAATATCCCAATTTGGTAAAATTCGCAGCAAGCACCCAAGGGGGGTGCTCAGAGGTATTTTGGACTCCGAATTTCCCATGGCAGGCGCAGCTACAGACTCTCCGGCGCGGATGGGCAGATGCAACGAAAAGGCGTCCCCGTTCGTTGCAAATTCCCCGGAGTACAATTAAGTACGGAAAGGGAAGCGGTCAGAGGGGCGTCCCCCGTCTGGCGGCTGTCCCTCGGAAGGCTCCTGGAGCGGGAATGGAAGACTACCTTGGCTCGGCCGAGACTAGGCAAGGAGTCCGTGCGGAACGCCGGAGAGGGAGCAACTGCACCATGCCGTAGGAAGAGGAGACGGGAAGCGGGGGAAGGCAAAGCAAGAAAAACTTGGCTTACCTTAATCGGAACGTGGAGGTGGCAGGGCCAGTGTTGGGTAGGTCGGGGAGGGGGGCCGTGGCCGGGCCAACGGCCCCAGCTCCCGTCCCGGGTTTCCGGCACCATTTGTCCGACCTACCCTCTGCGGGAAGACTGAGCTGTTCGGAAAAAACCGGACCGCAGGCTAGAGGAAATTCCTTAAGTTCAGGCTTTATTGAGAGGAAAGAGCCTCCGGGCGGACCAGCCGGGAGGAAGAGGAGAATGGCCGCGCCGCTCAGAGGGGCAGGGTTGTTTTATAGGGGGCTGAAGGGCTGGGGGGTGGGGAAGCCAAAAGCCGAGGTGGTGGGCAACTGTTGGTCAGTTTGAACTGCTGGGCGGGAAGCTGGGCGGCGGGAGGGCTAGGGCCGGTATGTAAAGTGAGAGATAAGGGAGCCTCTTTGTGGGGGAGGGAAAGAGAGATTTTGCGGTAGGGGCAGAGTTTTCCAAACAATCATCAAGGTGTTTTTCTCATTCTTTTTAATGGCTGCATGGTATTTCATTATGTGATTAATGTAGTTTATTCAGTTGTTTCCCTATTGATGGGTATTTAGGTTCCTAGTATTTTGCTATAAAAAATAATGATGTAGTAAATAATCGTCTGCATAAGACATTTTGTAGTTTTTTTTTTTCTTTTTTGAGACAGGGTTTTACTCTGTCACCAGGCTGGACTGCAATGGCGCTGTCTTGGCTCACTGCACCCTCTGCCTCCTGGGTTCAAGCGATTCCCCTGCCTCAGCCTCCTGGACATTTTGTAGTTTTGGTAGTGTGCTTTTGAGCAGTATTCATTTACGTGGTATTACTGGCTCATTCTTGCTATTTTCAATATTTTTGCTATCTTAAAAATGCTTGTGTAGGTGATTTCCTGTATGCTGTGTTTATTCTATAGTTGTGGAATATAGACTCATGTTCAAAGGTGGCTGACTGCAGAGGACATTTAAGTTGGGTTCATGGTGTGATGTTTTCTCCTGATGGATCATCATTTTTGACATCTTCTGATGACCAGACAATCAGGGTGAGAAATATTGAGATTTTCATTTTGAACATTTACTGATGGTGAGCTAAACCTCCTACAAACTAAGAAATTGATGGGTAGCATTGAGGTAAGCAAAATAGGAAACTACTATATTCATAGTCACCCTGGAAAAGTGCTATTATATGGACTGTAACAGTCTCCTTCATTCACTACATGTTCATTGAGGATTACCATGGGCCAGGTGCTGTGGGAAGTTCAATGATTAGACTGTATTTTGATTAACTTAAAATACTACATTTGATTCCTCAGAATAATTTTTGACTCTTTCCTTTACCTTGAATTCCTATATCCAATTACTAATTCTAAGAGAGTCTACCTTTCCACTTTCTATCATTATCTCTACCTTTCCATTCCTGCGGCCCAAGTTCAGGTCTTTGTTACCTGTTACTTCTCTGTTGTATTAGTCTCTGCCACAAGTCTTCTTTCTTGCTTTTCTGCATGCAGCTTCTAAGATACTTTTTTCATGTATAATGCAGTCATGTCATTTTTGCTCAAAAATAAATAGTGGCTCCCTTGTCTACCAAAGTAAGTATATACTTCTGTGTCTGCCATTAAGCTTTTTCACAGCACGGCCTCATTCTGCTCCAGTCTGTCTTCCAGTTTATTCCTACAGGGAACCAACACTGGACTGCTCACATTTTCCCAAACACCCTCTAGTTCCTTGCTTCTGTGCTTCTCCTTATGTGGTTTCTTATATTTGGAATGCCCTAATTACCTTTATTTTTGTTTGTTGAAATCCTAACCATCCTATAAGTTCCCTTAAGCCTGGATTTGGGGAGAATGTCTGTCTCTTTTAGTGCCATCTAATTCTGTGTCATTTTCTAGTGGTGCTTATCAAATTTTGACTTGAATTTAAATTCATATATGATTTACTCCTTATTTCCAATACTCCACTGCTCCTCTGATTATTGACACATCTTACATTATAAGCTCTTTAAGGCCAGGAACCCTGGCTGGTCCCCACAGCATCCAATTATAACGTTATATATGAATTATGGCTAAAATTCATTTCGTACTTACTATATTCAAGATGTTATGCAGAGTAATGTATGTGTATATATATAAATCTATATATACATTTACTAATTCTCACAATAGTCCCTTTTGTGATGAGGAAACAGGCACAGAAAGGCTGAGAAAGGTCAGTGGTACTTAACATGGCAGTCTCAATGAGCTCAAGCCAGAATATAAATCAACACACTGCTTTCTCCATCAAGAAAGTCTTGTTGAAATGAAATAAGCTGCATCACTAAGCACAGTTACAATGGGTTTAGTGATGTAGATGATTTACATTCTGGTATAAACTTTTTTTTTTTCTGAGATGGAGTCTTGCCCTGTTGCCCAGACTGGAGTGTAGTAGTGCAATCTCAGCTCACTGCAAACTATGTCTCCAGGGTTCAAGCAATTCTCCTGTCTCAGCCTCCTGGAGTACTTGGGTACAGGCGCATACCACCATGGCTGGCTAATTTTTGTATTTTTAGTAGAGATGGAGTTTCGCCATGTTGGTCAGGCTGGTCTTGAACTCCTGACTTCAATGATCCACCTACCTTGGCCTCCCAAAGTGCTGGGATTACAGCTGTGAGCCACTGCACCTGGCCCAAATTTCTTATCTTGTGGATTGGTTTCAAACAGTTTGAGAACCAGCAGGAGATCCTTATCTTTTAGTAACACTGGGTTAGCAACCTGCCTGAAGTTACAACTTTAGGTAGAACTAGAGTTCATACTGAGGAATTTTGGCTCTGGAGCCCATAACTCCTAATACTAGTTGCATCTTACTATAGATTGTGTTAATAAATATTGATTGTTGGATTATAATCTAATATTGAAACATTTCTAGCATCATAAGTGTTTTATGTGAAACATAGTTTGTCTCTTGCTTTAAGATGAAGACTTACGTTATTTCAAAGATGGAATGATAATTTATATATCTCTTAATTAGCTCTGGGAGACAAAGAAAGTATGTAAGAACTCTCCTATAATGTTCAAGCAAGAAGTAGATGTTGTGTTTCAAGAAAATGAAGTGATGGTCCTTGCAGTTGACCATAGAAAACATCATCTGCAAGTGAGTATATTTTAGAAAACAATTGGAAAAATTGTTTTGGTTGAACTTTCTATTCACAGTTTTTCTTGTTTTTGGATTTGGGATCAAACATAATTAACAGGTGCTCAGTAGGCACTGAATAAATATATATAGGTCCCTAACCGAGGCTCAGATATGCTTATATTTAGAGTTAATTAGATAATACCTCACGTCACTGCTCTTCTGTTGATATCTGTGATCACATTCTTTGATTTGCATGGAGTCTAAGAATACCATGAGGATAAACTCATGTTGTCTACAAGAGTGATTCAGACATGTCTGATGGAGTGTGCAAGGGGGATGAGCATATGGAAGCATTTTTAAAAGGGAAGGATTCCAGGGTGTTTGAAAGAACAGAAGTCACTTTAGGTGAGGAAGGTGTCTGATTCATTGGAACTGAGGTGAAAAGAGCTGGGCTTTACATACTGAAATATACCTGCTCATTCATTTACATGCACATTTGTTCAGTAAATATTTTTTGAATGCTAATTTTGGTCTTTGAGGAGGAAAGTGTTGTATAGTAAAATTGAAAGAACTGTATTGCTTAGGGATCCAAACAGCACTACTCTAGCCTGTTCTCCCTCTCCTTCCCAACAAAGAGTGGGACACATGAGAGGAAGGCGTTTCGCAACTAGCTGAAGAGAAAAGGAGTCCCAAAGAACCATTGGCAGAGGAATGGTATTCAGGAGCTCAGAGTGGTGGCAAACAGATGCCCTAAGAGCAGATGCCTTTAGGAGCACTGGAGTTCAAGAGCAGGTTGGCACCACTGTGCTGGTGGACTAAATAAAGTATCATTGCACTGATAGAGGTGTCCTGGAAGTAGTGATAGCATTGTAGATAGTGGCAGTAAGAGAAAGCGGATGCCTCATGGAAGATCGAATACAAGAGGCTGCCCATATGTTGGTCAGCCCAAGTAGAACAGCAGAATGTGGGCCATTGAAGGAGGTGTCAGCATATGGAGCTGACAGCATGTGACTGTGACTTGTGGCTGAGAAGGGCGGGAAGTGGCATGGCTTTTGTGTGAACTAGTGAGACATTCTCCCTTGGCCTGAGGATTCCCTTAGACATAGGATTGAGAAGGCTAGAAACCCTTTCATATGAGGGCCAATGATCCTCAGAGACATAGGATTGAGAAAAGACAAAAAGCCTTTCATTTGTGAGGGCTAATGATCCTATAAACTATATTCTTTCTTTTTGTTTTTCTTCTGAGACAGTCTTTCTCTGTTGCCCAGCCTGGAGTGCAGTGGCATGATCTCGGCTCACTGCAAGCTCTGCCTCCTGGGTTCAAGAGATTCTCATGCCTCAGCCTCCCGAGTAGCTGGGACTACAGGCGTGTGCTACCATGCCCAGCTAATTTTTGTAGAGACAGGCTTTTGCCATGTTGGCCTGGTTGGTCTTGAACTCCTGACCTCAAGTGATCCACCCAGCTTGGCATCTCAAAGAGTTGGCATTACAGGTGTGAGCCACCACGCCCAACCAAATTTATTTATTTATTTTTTTTATTTTTAGTAGAGACGAAACTTTTCTCATAATATGTTTAAGACCTTTCATTAGCTCTTTAAGAGCACGAATGCAGCTTGAGTTAACTTTTTCCATATGGATTTTAGAAGTGCTTTATTAACTTCTAGGTAAAGGTTTTGGCAGTGATACCATAATCTTATTCCATCTTTTCATTTGATTTTTCTTGATTTGCTTATTGAAAAATAGGGAGCATGAATGTGTGTTAGAGAATGAAATGAGATAGTGATGTTGAGCTAGAGAGGAGAGAGAAGAACAGAATAGAGAAGATGAGAGTAGTAGAGCACATATGTGGAAGGTATGAGAGGAAGCAAACAATTGAGACAGACGGACATAGGGTAGGACAGAGCTTAATAAGTTGTCATTTAAAAAAAATTTTTTTTTTTATAGTGATGGGGGCATCTCGCTATGTTGATCAAGGTGCTCTCAAACTCCTGGCCTTAAGCACTCCTCCTGCCTCAGCCTCCTAGAATGAGAATGCT